TTTGCTGAACACCGCATTGTACGTGCTGTTACTGAGTGTACACGACCAGGACTCTGGGATTCTATAATATGCTGAACGCGGCATTGTACGTGCTGTCACTGAGTGTACATGACCAGGACTTCGGGATTCTATAATTTGCTGAACTCGGCATTGTACGTGCCGTTACTGAGTGTACACGACGAGGACTCCAGGATGCTATAATTTGCTGAACACAGCACTGTACGTGCTCTTACTGAGTGTACACGACCAGGAATCCTGGATTCTATAATTTGCTGAACACGACATTGTACATGCTGTCACTGAGTGTACACGACCAGGACTCCTGGATTCTATAATTTGCTGAACACGACATTGTACATGCTGTCACTGAGTGTACACGACCAGGACTCCTGGATTCTTTAATTTGCTGAACTCGGCATTGTACGTGCTGTTATTGAGTACACACTACCTGCACTCCAGGATTCTATAATTGATGAACACAGCACTGTACGTGCTCTTACTGAGTGTACACGACCAGGACTCCAAGATTTTATAATTTGCTGAACTCGGCATTGTACGTGGTGTTACTGAGTGTACACTACCTGCACTCCAGGATTCTATAATTGATGAACACAGCACTGTACGTGCTGTCACTGAGTGTACACGACCGGGATTCTATAATTTGCTGAACACCGCATTGTACGTGCTGTTACTGAGTGTACACGACCAGGACTTCGGGATTCTATAATTTGCTGAACTCGGCATTGTACGTGCCGTTACTGAGTATACACGACGAGGACTCCAGGATGCTATAATTTGCTGAACACAGCACTGTACGTGCTCTTACTGAGTGTACACGACCAGCGCTCCGGGATTCTATATTTTGTTGAACACAACACTGTACGTGCTGTCACTGAGTGTACACTACCAGGGCTCCTGGATTCTATAATTTACTGAACTCGGCATTGTACGTGCTGTCACTGAGTGTACACGACCAGGACTCTGGGATGCTATAATTTGCTGAACACCGCATTGTACTTGCTGTTACTGAGTGTACACGACCAGGACTCCAGGATGTTATAATTTGCTGAACACCGCATTGTACGTGCTGTTACTGAGTGTACATGACCAGGACTCCAGGATGCTATAATTTGCTGAACACCGCATTGTACGTGCTGTTATTGAATGTACACAACGAGG